ATTTCCTTGGATCATCTGTTAGAAATGTAGAAAATGATATACTTTGTCTTTTAATACACCTAAAATGTTACGTATTGTCTCATGAAAGAGTTAAAATATTTAACGCTTGGTAAAATTTCAGTTTCAAAGATAGCTCTAAGCTAATTTTAGCCTCAATTTATTTTTTTATCTATAAAGTAGAAGGTGATGTTAAGTCGAAATTTAGCATTATTCATAACACAATGCAAATATTTCCAATTTATACATAGTCTGACATGACAATCTTCACACAATTACGGTTATTGTACAAGTGATCTCCCCGGGTGCATTGTTGACACGTGTTCTCTGTTCTTCTTCTTTCTTTTTTCTTCATATTTCGCTTGTTCATAGTGATGGAAGTCCGCATTTCTCCGAATTTTACAACTGTAGGCTGAGCGTGTGTTTACCCGGCTGATTCTGATGACCAAAACAAAACACCAGAAAAGTAATCAGATTGTCTGATTCTGATGACCAAAGCAAAACACTAGGAAAGTAATCAGCTTATCTGATTCTGATTACCAAAAAAAACACTAGAAAAGTAATCAGCTTCTCTGATCCTGATGACCAAAACAAAAACACTAGAAAAGTAATTAGCTTGTTAGGCAGTTGTTGTTTAACTGTCTGCACAGGCGTCGCCAGGATTTTCGTAGAAGGGTTCGTTTTTCTTATGGTTTGTTTGTTTGAAGTTAAGCACAAAGCTACACAATGGGCTATCTGTGCTCTGGCCACCACGGGTATCGAAACCCGGTTTCTAGCGTTGTAAGTCCACAGACATACCGCTGTGCCGCTGGGGGGATCATTCCTGTACATACATACACGCGTAAAACTGCGTGTGTTACGACGAGAACACGATGATAAACTAATTATTTCGAAATACATTTTCATGCAAGTTTTAAAAATAAATTGAATACTATCTATTCATTATCAATATAAGTTTGAGTGTACGTTTCAAACATAAGTATATATAACCCCTCTTTAGCAGTTGTTTTGTAATGTAATAAAAGGTAGAGATACTGCCAATTTATTTCGAATTCTTCATTTTAAGTACCGTATCTTGCTGTATCGAACTGGTTAGGAGTATGTAAGTGTGAACAAACAGCCACAGCTGTCGACGGGGCATAAGATCCCGAGGACTACCTGTCGCTCCTGTCCGCCCGCTTTCGCTTGCTACCGCAAAAAATTCCTCAGTGACTTGCATTTTGGATCAGTGGACCGCCTGGAGGACCCTCACAAACCACCAGTTGTACCTCACTTTGAGAACCACTGTTCTAAGCGTATCTAATTGCCTCAGCTTTAAATAAAATATGAAGTATCTATCATGGCCAGATCGCAATTTAACAGTATGGCATTTGCCTGGTTAATACAGAATAGAACGATATGGCACTTGTTCGTTCAAACTGCCCTAAGAAACTGGACCGCTGTCTGTTCATTATATTTGAATACGTTATTGTTGTACTAAGGATATTGGTTTCGCTGTTAAACCTACAAATAGGTTTGGCGATAGACCAAAATAAACCCCCGAACTTCCTCTGGCGACGTCCTTGATCTTAAACAAAATAACCAATACGTTCATCTAACACAAGCACAAAAGACAAAAATGTACACAGTTCATAATTCCAATATAATAACAAATTATAAATATTATAAAGACAACTAGGGATCGATATATACGTAATCTAGTTAGCTATAGTAATATAGAAAGTTTTAATGCCACAAAAAGTATTGAAACAATAAAGTCAAAGTTGCATAAAATTTAAACAAGGGGGAATCCCAAATAGCCGCGGCACTTGAAATTCTTTTAGGTAGTATTAGAGTAAATTAATCCATGATATCTTATTTTCCTATTTATTAGCTATATTTTCTGCACCAACAATACCAAGCGTGGGGCGCGGTATACCCGATTCGACGTTATTACTCATCAGGATCTCTACCAGCCTACACTCAAATTGAACTTCTTTTAGGCAGGATTAAAGTAAACTAATCTATGAGCCCTTAGGCGTGGTTAAATAATCAATCGAAAGTGTTTGACCTCGTGAGTCCAAAACTGTAATTAGATCTCAAATCAGTCAAGAGATCATGGAGCTATGAGCTAAAAGTTTGAACTTGAAAAGAAAACAAACGAACAAACAAAAATCTCAGTGTTACGTGTTGAGAATTTAAAATAGTCCGAAGCCGAAATTTTAGTTAATTTACACTATTTTCCAACAAGATTGACACACACGGTCTACGTTTTTCACACAAATACGCTTTAATATATATATATATACATGTATATATAACGGTACAATTTACAACAACAATTATTAAGAATAGTTACCACAAGCAAAGTTTTATAAACGACAATTTCACTAACTTACAAACAACATAGAAGCTTCTTTCTAGTTCAGAGTCTCCTTGATATCCAGGGAGTTAACTTGAAGTCGATGTACGTACAATTGCCGAGAAGCTAGCTAGCTTTGTCAGACACTGAATTGTTGGACCGTCGAAGTAAGATAATATTTTCTTAAAACCACTAATGTCCGATAAGAATTCAGGAATATTTTCGGAAAGATACTAACGTCCGATGAGAATTCACTGAAGTACGAAATTTATAACTGTTCCTGGTCAAATGTCGTATATTTTCCGGTTGATAAGGGTTAGCAAAATAACGGTTTATAGCCTATACGGATATAACAGGTTCCTAGCAGACTTATAAGCTCTCTCTTTTTTGGCGCGTCGCCTTGTCTGTTTTATAGGTGCGAGAAATGTTTTTCTCGAAAGTTCGGACAACAATACTGAACTATATTTAAGCGGTTACGGAAGTGAATATATTGTCGATTCTTGCGTTCACGAATATTCTACAACCTTGGAGAATTGGCGGGAGTTTCGCCATACGTAACTAACACTGTATGCTAGGCACGTTTTTACATATAAACTCAATCCCAACAAACGTTGTCATTAAAATGAATATATAACAAATTCGTTACACGCAATACATATCTGATACTATAAGTTACGCATATTTTTAAATACATATTTAAGCTAAACAACGTTCATATTAAAAATAAAATACATAAAAATAAATTCGTTACACTCAGAGCTATTCCATGAGCCGTTATGCCGCAGCTAAACACTTATCCATACATTGGCAAATCACAGTAATTATGTGAGTCTGTAGCATTAAAACTTTATACATTACTATAGGTTATGTATATATGGAATATCGATCCCTACTTGTCTTTATAAAATTTAAAAAAACTCATCATACTTGTTTGTTTGCTTTTTATTAGCTATATTTTGGTGCGCCAGCAATACCAGGCGTGAGTATACCTGATTCGATTTTATTGCTTATCAGGCAGGATCACTACCAACCTACCCTCAAATCTAATTATATGCCAAAAGTAGCGCATCGTCCGTTGTACACACACACACACATATATATATATATGTATACTAGTATCCTTTTCGGTAAAAGAATTCTGTGAAAGAATTAGAGCGATACGTTTTGTCATTATTTTCTGTACACTTGTCTGGAAATGTCACTTACTTACTTAATTACTTGGATGAAAATTCGGTAAAATAGTGAAATTTTGATTCACTCCATAAACACGTGTATAGCGATTTAGGTGGTTTAATAAGTACAATAAGCTTTAGTTTTTGTATAGCTAATATTGTGAAGTAGTCATTGTTAATAATCAGACAATTTAAAGGTGGTTTTAAACAGGCTATTTTTACGACTGCCATTTTATTTCATCACGTTCGTACTATTAGTATTAAGTACTACGGTACTTAATGATAACCCGTGTTCACGCACTCAGGAATACACACATTCCTCTGCAAAGCTTACATTACTTACGCATATACGAATAAAGGCTGTACATTTAAACAATACCCCCCATCAACAGAACAGCTAATCATAAAAATAATTACTGTGTTTGTTAATTTATTAGAAATTTAGGCATTCGTTGCTTGAAGTTTATTATTACAAAGCAGCAAGGTCAGAGAACTTTCAGTTAACGACAAAAACATGTTTTATATAAATTGTTCCATATTAGAGACGTGACCACAGTCCCATCGATGCATATTTGAATGAATAATAAATCAAACATAGAAACTAATCTACATTTGAAGTATGGGATGACGCTGACCCTGCACGTGAAGAGAGGGGTCGGCGCTCTTTCGCGACTCCGCAGGACTACAGAACTACATTTAAACAAATTTCAATAACTATATTCTTAACGTAACCTTTCAGGAATTTGAGACATTTTGTGTGCAGCTGGAAAGCAGTTTGGCAATATTCAATGAACTCTTCAAATTCACTGCTACTTTGGACACAAAATGGAGTTGACACTCGCCCATCGTCACAGACTTCAATTTGTTCGCGTGTTTATCTAAGCCCGTGGAAATGAGCTGGCATTATTTCATGATAATATTAGTAGGTTTCATATGCTTTTGTGCAAGACGCGTTTATTAAACCGTACGTTCAAATATAAATCAACACAAAAAGCATATTTTGCTTCACACGTTAAATATTTTTGTAATTCATATTTAAAGAACTGGCATCATTAACTAAGTATATAAGTTTATCCTAAAAAAAAACAAACTACAAAGTCAATGTATTTTGTGGTAATCTCCAGTGGACGAAAGTATTCCAATCTCGTAAAAATATCAAATAAGTAAAAAGGAAAGAACAAATTTTGTGGTGCATATTGAATAATGTGTGAACCCCTTTTCTAGCGTCATTACTGTAACGAAAGAAGTGTGAAAGCTAGCCATTACCAATACCGTTTATATTACTGGTAATATATTTTGTAAGTTTTCAGGGTCTGAGCATAAAAGACGAGAGAGGGAAATTTTTGCCGGGAGCCATCACCGAGACGGTGTCAGCATGTGGTATCGCTCTTCATTTGATGTCTTGCTTGAGAAAATGAAGTGTTGTTGTGGCGTGTCAGTGAAACTTGTCTAGAGCATGCGCAAGAGAGGTTCGGTGACGGCAAGCAGGCTGGAATGATGCGAGAGATCGATCTTTGTTTAATACGTGATCAACATACATCAGAAGAATCTCATATTTCAGTCGGCAAAATTATGTCGATTCCTCATTAGGAAGAAGTAATGTTCGTTCATCGACTAGTGACACCAGACTCGTTTTTTTTTCTTAGTTAAAGCAGATAGAAAACATTTTAAATTGACTCTGATTGGTTTCAAACGAGGCCTCAGTGTTAGTAGCACAGATGCGACTTCAGCGCGGTGCCTCAGTAATTTAATCTATCGTTGTGCCGTAGCATCATCATTCTCCCGCTCTGTGTACTGCTCGTTTCGAGGTGTTCTTCTCCCGTCGTATAGATAAGCAGCGAGGAAAACATGGTAAGTAATAAAAGTGTTATAAAATCTACGAGTTCGTGCACCTAGAGTGAGTGAGTGACGTTTCGTACAGTCATGTTGAAGGAGCGATAGTATTGTAAGAAACACTTTAAGAGATGATCTTATTAAATTAGTTTTTAAGAACAAAATATGTATAGATGTTTCAACTAAATCACTTTGCACAGTAAGATAAACCTAATAAAGGTTTTCTTAAATAACATAACTGAAATTACTGAGTTGTTTGATTCTACCTAACGCTTCGTCAATTTTCTCGAAGTCTAGATTATTATGAAAAAATATCTTTCTTTTATTTCCATGTGTCCAGATGAGTTGTAAACGTTATGACAGGTAGGTATGTGCCACTGATACTTTGACTGAAGCTAATAGAGTTCAACTACAGCAACAGATCAAATATATTTAAGGATTGTTTCTAAAGACCAGCACCAGGGGTCTTGTTTATTTTAGAGCAAAGCCATATTGGGCTATCTGCTGCATCCATCACAGGGAATCGAACCTCGAATTTTAACGATATAAGTCCGTAGACTTACCGCTAACCCACCAGGGGACACCAGGGTTCTGTGTTCGCGTTTTTGTTTATAATTTTCAAGGAAGTTTTCGATATTTGATTTTACAAAGAAATTTGGAACAAAAATCGGTTTTTGGTTTGGCTGTTGCTTCACTTAGATCTACGCAATGGGTCAACTATGCTATGCCCACCCGAATACTATAATCGTAAGCCTGCAGACTTGCCGCTGAGCCATTGGGAAGGGGGACATCGATGTTTGCGGGTGAGATTTGCGGTGATGTTCAGGAAAACTCGATATTAATTTTTGTCAACAATATGATAATATTTACCTACAACAGTAAGTTTTTCAATATAAAAACAACTAAAACAAACGGCATACCCGAAAACTTAACATTTCACGTTTATATTAAATAACCAAAGAGTCGTCCCATTTATAGGGCTTGAGCGTTATTTTACTCAAAATTTTCAAACAATAACCTTATGGTTGTCGTGTCAGGAGGTCCAAGGTTAAATAAAGCCAAATTCGGGTTAAAATCAAAAACAAAGAATCCTAACTATTGCACATATGTCATTACAATAAATAAAAAAAATATGCGTTTCTCATAACCAGAAGATGGTCTAAAACTTTACTGCATACGGAATTGCGTGATCATTCACAGATTTTCGATAACAGAACTTAATAAGTTTTAAAGAGTATAAATTACTGTTTGTGTCCACATTACTATAATCGTTATAGGTAACTGACGCAAGTTAAGGTTTTAATAAGAAACATCAGTCATAGACAATCTTTAGTTTAAATATCTAATATGTACGACTAATGATGAAATGTTTCATTTCGTCACACCAATTTGTAAATAAGAAACTTAAAGTAAAATAATTCTTTTTTACTTAATTACAAATTTCTTCTTAGAAATTCACGTAATAAAACGCTGGCAGTTAAAAAATAAACATCTTTTACAAATCCTTATTTATGTGGCTATACTATTGTGGAAGTGAAATGCTTGTGTTCGTTTGTTTGTTGAATTTCGCGCAAAGCTTGTCGAGAGCTATCTGTGCAGGTCGTCCCTAGTGTAGAAGTGATAGATTAGATGGAATGCACCGCCCACCGCCAAGTCTTGGGATACTCTTTACCAACAAAAAATGGGATTGATCCTCACATTATAACGCCCTAAGGCTAAAAGGTCGAGCATGTTCGGTTACCGGATTCGAACCCCCCTCATCCTCATGTTGGGAGCCAACAGGCCATCTAGATCAGGTGGTGCAAGGAACTATCAACTTTATTTTCTGAATAAATGCAGGAAGTAGAGGTCACTGTATATGAGGAAATGTCATGCAGATGAGCCAAATATCAAAGTTCAAACAACATAGGGGCACATTGTAGTGACCTTCTAGATGTAATTTTCACATGAAGAAGTGAAAATCAGATTTAGAAGGTTTATTATTTGATAAAACATATTTAAAACTAACTTTTATCTATACCTGAAGGGGGATGCCTCTAAGTCAGTAGGTTGCCGTGGGCCTCATCAGGTCATCATAAGCCTGATTTGTGGCTCGCACTATGATCAGGTATTGCAAAATTAAGCAAAAGGGTATTTGTAGAAGGCCAACAAACTCAGGCCTGGTCCTTGGTTTTATGGCTGTCATCTGAAGTGGCTCAGTGTAGAAAGTAACTGAGGACTTGTGCTCTGGGTTGTTTGGTCCATCTGCAGATTTCGTGGTTTCCTGTAAGAAAGATGGAAAGTGTGATTATAACTTTAAGGATTAGTGAATTAAAAAAATATAAAAAAGAAAATGAATTCAATAAAACGTGCCTTGGTCTTTTTGCAAGCTGGATTCCATCCACGAAACCACAAAGTTAGCCCTTAACTGTCCTCGTAAGCGAGGAATAATAAGAAAATCACCTAATTTTACAAAAAAAAAATGTCAAGAACAGATGAGTAACAAAAACAAACTAAAAACTCATGTTTACATTGTCATCATCAATGGGATGACAGTAATTATTATACATACTTAACTAAAATTAACTAAAATGAGCTGGTTTCTAAAGCGACACCATACATGTTCTATGTATGTTATTAACATAATTCGTACTATTAATTTCAATAGACAAGTACAAATTAAGCAAGTTCGGTTATAAAATGTAAATGTATCCTTCACGCATTTCACTGAAAAACGACCTAACATTTCAAATAAATAAAAGACCAGACAAATGCTGTGGACCTAATATTTTCTCCACATCACTTTACAGTATTTTAGAAATTACCATTTATACTTTACTGTACAGAAACAAATAAATAGCTTACAGAATGAACACGAAGATAACGTTTTGTGTTCTTCATCTAAGATGCACAGTTTTTACGATAATAATTTACTATATTAATGTGCTTCTCACGTTTCCTTTTTATGCACTAAAAGTAATTACTATAATTGAAGTGTGCACGAGGCAGTTAAACCTATGCACTAACTACTCACCGCACGTATTAAATCTAGCAGATAAAGGCTTCTAATTTACCCCTTTGCTGCAATTATCGCTTAGTTTCTCCAGGGCCTTTTAGACTTAAATGGGTTTTGTTACCTAATAAGTGCCTGTTTCAGCCCTTAATGTTAGAACGGAGCGAGAAATGTGATAATTATGTGATTTAGACGAATGGGATGGTTTCACCGACGTTACAGGATGGTTGGACAGTAGCACCGTGGGAGATTTATCGAAATCATTTCACGTTGAATGTCCTAACGTTATTAGGTCCACACTGATGTTTTACAAATGATTGATAAACATAATTTATTTATAATAGAAAAAAAAATATAACTACTCAACCTATGCTGCTCAGATTAGTCAGAAGAAAAAATACTAATTTGAAAACTTAAAAAGACAATCCGCATTGGTTACTATTGTGACATGTTTCGTTTGCCCCGTAATTTTAGTTTGTTACAATAATGTTGAAATATAAATGTTCTTACATATAAATGTTTAGTTTTCTAAATTTCTATTTGGGTGTTGAAAACGTATGTATTTGTTACATACCTGTAATTATTTCGTTCTCTGAGGCATTTACGCTTCTAGGTTGTTTGAAGTTTGACATATGATTCAGCTGCATGAAATTTTCACAAATACAGTGACCTCCACTTCCTGTATTTTTTTCAGAAAATAACGATGATTATTATCGTAAAAATCAGAGCTGTAGGGCTTTATTACTGGGGCAATCAAAGGGTGTGCTATCTTAAACACACGTGGGCAATCATGCGAGTGATGGTAATCTTTGGTGTTCATTCCTTGTATGGTTGTTACATGCAAAGAGAAATAGAACATTCGGGTTGCTCTACTGTATCCTTTGATTCTGATTGGTTCTGAATTAAACCTACAGCTTTGCTGGCTGGTTCGGTGTTATACGGGTTATACGCAATTTTTGTTTATTGTTAGTATAACTTTGTTTTTAAGGCCAATAATTGAGTGGCAAAATACTTAATAGATTTGTAAATCACTGTCCAATTCTGAAATCTTAGAAAGCTCAATAATTTTTTACTAAGAAATACAGAAAATATTTCAAAAGTTATCATAACAAAAATAGAATTCCATGAGGATAAAAGTAATATTATAACATAAATATCTCGAAATCAAGACATTTAATAAGCCGAGCAACTAAGGCAATGAAATCTCCCTATACGGAGTTCTTGTAAACAACTTATGCTAACATCTTCTTGTAAGTTACGTAAATAAAATTTATAAGACTTACAAGTCACTTGTTTAATCTAGTTCACACCATAACAGTCGTTGTTCATGAAAATTTACGACCTAGACCACTATTATGTCTGCTGTATCCCAGACGGCCTGCTGATCCATGTTACTGCACGAGAGGCTTCGTCTGCACAAGATATGGCAGATGTAATGTGGTTGACGTTCTTCATTCATGCAACCTTATCTTTCATTCATGGAAACTTAGAATTACTCCTAGGGAAGGATCCAGTGCTTATATATCCCTACTTTAGAATACGTTAATTTTAGTTCAAGTTTCAGAAATCGAGACAGCCAGTTAATTTATTTGGAGTTAAAAGAAACCAAGTTATTGTGCTGTGGTATTCTAACTTTCATATAATTCGACATGGAACTCACTATTTGTAGGCCAAGCGAGACTCTACTGTCATAATGCAAGGTTTTAACAACTCAAACTATCTAAGTATCAAATGTGAAATGGATGTTATACGACTATAATGCGGGATGAATTTAATTTAATTTGTTATGGGAAGATCTACTTTTAAGCATTGAGCACAAGTAATAGCTCCCGTTATTATATTCAAAACTCAATACAAAATCTTTGCTGTCGGTAAACTCGTTCAAGTATAAGGTTACACGTGTGTAAAAATGTTCATTTAAGTTTCAGCAAAGAAGAAAACATCATACTACAACATCGTGTCATAAGAAACACCTAAAACTTATAGGTGCAGAGTTGAGCATTTATTATATATTTCTTGGAAAGCA